ATTTTAGTGGTTGTTTGTTGAAATGTTTGTATTGGTAGAATTTTAGTGTAACTTTTTCACGCCTCTATTTTCACACTCATTCAATGATCGAGTCTTTGATGAATGAGAATCAAAGAGATTTTCTCACTGTATATTAGTCAATCTATAGAGAGAGCATCATAAGTATCAATCTTGTTACTAACACAAACTATTTATACTATATTTTTACTTTAACCTTTGTAACTTATTTTTTCGAGAATTCCAAAATTATCAAAAGAATCTTCGTGCTAAACAGAAATTTTGGTCTAGTAATACAATGATTCATCCCGTTTGATCTTGACTGTAACAGCGATCTTTCTGTAAAAAGTCTTTATAAAATTGATACAAACGACTTTCTATGTTGCTAATACGCTCAGTGAATCAGTAATCAATACTTTCGATCTTGGTTTCATCTCATATAAACGATGCTCAAAAAATGAGGTATCTTGGCACTAATTGTTCATGTTTTCGAATTCAGTAGTAACCGTAATCCAACAAATCTTTCTTAAATTATCTAAATGGTTTACATGAGAGAAGATTATACAGAAGACATTTTTTCTTATTTGATTCCTCTCTCGAAGATTAACAATATCGAAAAGTTGAAATATGGAAAGAAAATGTGCATCATGACGTGACGATTATCAATTACTAAAAAATCTGGAAATTCTACGCATTATATTCACATATTTGTAATCAATAGTGAATATTTTATTTTTTCTATTTATTTATTTAAAAAAGCCTGTTCATATCCATTGATGTTACATTACGTGTTAATTTATCTTTAAGCATATCAAGTACATTCAATGATCGAATTTGTATTGATGTTGCTAATTATGTACAAAAAGTATTTTCATTATTAGATGAAAATTTTTCTGATAAATCATATAATGCTTGTTTTAAACAATCAAATGTATGACATAATAATGTATATATTGGTAAATGTGCTTCTTGAGTTATTTTAAAACGTTCATCTAATTGTTGTGGTGTTAATTGAACATCTACTTTGTCGGGTTTAGCCGGACTTATAAATGATGGTTGTTTACTCATTTGAGAAAAAGTATCACTACTGCTTCATGTTTACCAATAGCTGATGGAACTTGAGATGGAGCTAGAGATCTTTTTGAAGACTAAAATGAAAACATAGAATTTTTTAAAAAATAAATGCTGCTAAAAAAAAGCAAATAATACTAGTTTAGAATAATTATTTTTTAAATACTAGAGATAATCAATAGTATAGAGGCAGAGATAATTTGTTTGAATATTAATTACATTAGATATTGGAAGAAAGAAATAGGATAAGTAGTTACCAGTTTGGCAGAATTTTTATCTTTAAGTTTCTAAAATGTAAATAATTTGCAGATTTCTTTTTTTTTAATAATAATCAATACTGTATTCAGTAGAAGTAATCTTTTTCCAAGAGTACGTCTTTCTTACAGTACCGATCAATCGATATAGTTCTATTAAATTATAAACTGATATGAAATCAAAGTTCATGTATCTGAAAAGATCATGAATACAAAAATCGATTATCTGTCATGGATAGATTAACATTTTCTCTCATAGCTTTTACTATAAGAAACCGTGATGATTTACTAAGAATGAAACAAAGGTCAATTCTTCTAGAAATATTCATGTAGATTTGAAATTTGTACAAAAGTTGATATTCTATATCAATTTGATCCATAAAAAACAAATGCATTGAATTGAAATAGATCGTCTTTATACGTATACTGTATGCCAAAGGCGATTATAAGATTTTGACCCACAAAAGGAATATATATATATATAGGTTAGTAGAGAAAGACTTTCTCGATCTAGTGATGTATGTATTATCAAGTTTTCTCTTGCGCATCATCTAAACGTCCACAGAAGGCGCTACCTTCGCCATGACTACAGTCGAAAATGATGAAGGCGCCGCTACCTATTAACACTTCAGCTATGGATGCAACAGTGACCGTGGACCAGTGGTCCACCGTCCATTGTTGCACCATACCACCCGCTGAACGATGAACCAGTGCCATTGGTACCACGATGGACCGGTGGATGCTTCACCGTCACCATTGCATCTCTAATCTAAACGGTATCTAATAGAAGTTGATAATACATATGCCATTAGATAAAAGAAATCTTCCGCTACTAACCTCTATAGATCTTGTTCTAGCATAAAAAATCATCGTGACACATATATTCGCCTCGTACTCTAAGAATGTTTACAAATAATGGATGTTGCGAAAGTTTCTAGCTGAATGAAACACTATGGATTGGGACCAGAATTTTGTACTCTTTGCGAATATAGGTTCAGAAGCTTTTCTGACTATTTTTGCTCGAGAGTAGTGAGAAACTCTTTGAAAGGGCTGAAAACTTAGTTTGGACGGAAGATTTTTTCTCGTGTTTTCACTGTTGGCACCAGAAACTAAACGTCGCCAATTTTGTTCGTATATTATCGTCTGATAAAGTACCAAAACTTTTGTTTTTCTATCACTTCCTTTTTTAAAAATAGACTTTTTTCGACAAAAGAGTATTTTACATGGAATGTAGCTTCCGACAAAATGCTTGTAGCTTCACTTTGGTAAAAGCGATAGTTTATGTCGAAATCATATTTTGTAAACAAATTTTCACTCTACAAAATTACCAAATTTAATAACTTTAAACACCATTATAAAAATCTGTTTGATCGTTATCCAAAACAATCTTTCAGGACTTTGAAAAATTCACACACTGCTCTCAAACAAACATAGGCACATGATGTCTAAATTTATCTTCGAAAAGAGTACAAAATTTTGATTTTCACATGCTTAGAATACTTTCAAATTGGTCAATAGCAAACAAACAATTTGTCCGGAAACTTTCGCATCATCTATTAACTCTTTACTTCCAGACACTAATCCAGTACAGCTGCTGTTGAGTCAACGGTAGACTTAGTTTATGCAGGTACTGATTATGACATTGATATGGTTAAATTTGAGCGAAGTTATTTCACTATGGAGATGCAGAATAGACCATAAATGACTCATTCATTTTGAATGACATAAAAATTGAATTCATTGCTAATTTGACTTTTTTAATGTTTTTTTCTCAGCTATGCTGTTATTTTATCTATATAAAGCTACAAACCTACTTATGAATTATTTTGTGGACAATGATTCATTGCGCTGGATGATAGAGGACTAGACACTTGCAAAGGAGGCTATTTTCAGATTAAAATCAGGTCTTTCATTTCTAGAATTGTGTTAGAATTATTAGTCTTCATTTTCTTTTTATAATATGGAATTATTGTTTCTGATTCTGACTCGTCGAGATGAAAAGGTTATAAGTAACTGCAAGTTTCTTTTTTTTATCGATAAGAATTTTTCATGTTATTCATGCGTTTATATTGAAAATAAAATAATTCTAGAAATAACATTTTTCATACTACTCACTATGAATGGGTCAAAAATGATGTTACAGAGTATAACGAGTTAATCTGATGGAACTGAGAGAGGGACACTCATTTATGATAGTTCTATAAAATAAGTATATTAGTATTCAATAGATTGATTTGAAAGATTCTCTAACGAGGAAACGTTTTTTAATTGATCAATCACTTTTCATCGAAATCTGGTGGATTGTAGGCTATCGACCATGCTGATTCCGAATGTAATCATAAGAAATCTCCTTAGGTTTTTATATGCTGATTTTCTAGTTAATAAATCTCATGACTAAAGAATTTATGATTTATATGACATTAGGTATGTTTGTTGATCGTTATTTTCTAATAAATATTAAAAAAATACTAACTTTTCCTCTTTCTAATTTTGAAGGTGGTGGTTCCTTCTTATCTTTAGTTGTATCACTAGCCGCACTAATAATATTTTTTTCATCTACAGAGCAAAAAAACGAAAAATTTCAATATTATCACTATTAATAATCTTACTTTCTTGTTGTTTTGTATATTCAAAAAAAATTTCCATGATTCAAATTGATAACAATCTAAATAAATATATTAACTTTTCAAAACTCTTGATTTTTTGTAAAATAACATACTTAAATCAATATCTGGGTAAGATTCATTTGATGGTTCGTCAATTTGAAGTTTTTGATAAATAATATTCATTTGATCAACAAATGAATCGATAAATTGATTCATAATATCATAACAATAATATTCTTTTGTTTTCTTTTATTCTTCAAATAATTTCAATTCGACTTACCAAAATAAATAAATTGTTTGTTCTGAAGGTAATATGAATTGAAGTATCAATTGATGAATAGCTTGATTAAGTTGTTCAAGAAATATTTGTTTATTTGGATTATCTTCATCCAATGATAAAATTTTATTACGTAATGTGTCAATTGATAAATCCCATTGTTATTCTTCATATTCTGGTACAATTTGTTTATATAATTTTTTTTATTTGTTCAACTATTTCATAATCAAAATAAAGCTATAAAAACACAAAAATAATAAGATTTTCTTTTTTGTAGAAAATTTTTACATCAGGATTATTTTGTTGAAATTATTCTTGTTCTGTCATATAGAAACCAATAGGTGAACGAGTTCGCTCAGGTGTTCAAACATTATCGAGTATATTAGAAACAATTTTTCGAACAATACTTTTAGCTTTTTTATGAAGAAACATTTTCTTGTTAATTTCCTTTTCGTAATAATAAAAATATACTTCGATATTAATACGTGTTTGTCGATGAACATCTTCTTCAGTTGTTACATCATGTAATGTAAATATAATTGGTCGACCACCACAAAGAACAGAACGTGTTAATAATTGCCAATGTTCAGTGAATATTTCTGGTTCACTTGATTTAAATACAAATGAAAGTTTGAGAGTATCCCTTGGTAAGATTGAACCTTGAACGATAACAATTAAGGTGAATATGTGTATGAATTAAAGAAATTTTAATGAAAGCAAAGATAATAATGTGCAGATGGTTAAGTATTATGTTAGAAATTAGTTTCGTTCTCAAGTAAAAGCAAGATAAATGATATATATTGAAAATTTAGATTACTGTATAATTTCATTCTATTATCGGTAGATACGAAACGCAGTACATCTTTCGACGTAAGAATATTGAATATATGTAATTTTAAGTAAGTACCTATCGAGATGAGACAGAGTAACGAAATGAAGAAAAAAAATCGATCGAATTGCATACCATCGTATGCAGTTCCATTACACCAGTAGGATATAAGTGATCAGGATCAGTTTCTTATCCAGATTTTCTCTTTCGAAAGGACGAGCACTTGTTTTCGAGAGTCCGGACATGTCATACGAGTTTCAATAATCACACATTCCAGGAGGGCTAACTTGATCTTCAGAGAGGCGCCGTCTGCTCGACTATCACATTGGATAAAATATTGATCAAGACTTCAACAGTATATGACAGAATTTATTAGTTTTAATCGATAGAGAGTGTGGATGTGGATGTGATATTTTTCTCTCACTCACATCCGCATCCACCCGCCTACACCTATCCTCAAGTTTTTCACTTCCTAGAATTTGCAAATTGGATCCTCTTTGAATCATCTAGAATGATAGAGTAAACAATTTTCTACAAAATGAAAACATCTTCAAGCTCTCTAACTCAATTTTTTAACGGGATGCATCAGACTTGAGGAAGACACAACAATGATGTTTTTATACGAGATAACAGCAAAAGTGACTTTGGTGCCTTGTGTAAGGTTGATGAATCTCGTTTAAAAAACGTTGTAGAAAACTGGAATATGTTACATTTTGTAGTGAATTATTTATCCTATGGTAATTTAGAGAGAATTTTATCTATGAATTCAAGGAGCTTAATAACGTGTCTTGTATTTTTTTTTCAGAGACTCTATACTTGAGAAACTAGCAATCATATTCATCGTCGTGAACTCTTCTTAGACATAAATTTCTCTACTCGAATAATTATTTAGATTCTTCTTACAAGGAAGCCATTCCAAATGATAAATTGCTTTTGAGTTTGGATTCTGAGATTACAGGCACCCCGAACTCTATGCATTGGGTAGGTTCCAATGAGATATGGAAAATTTCAAAAAGATGAGTGTTCTTTAGCTCTCTTCCTAGAGGTATAGCCATTTTATTGAAGCTTCAGTCTATGGCATAGTCTGTGCCAATAAATCAAATGATGACATTTAAACCTGAGATTTTACCCACAAACTGACCTACATCTAATTCGAGCACTTTGAAAATTTCGTCTCAGAAGGATTTTTTCTTCAAGAGATATTCAAGCTACGACAAACATGAAATTCTTCCATTTTTCATATGATATCAGTATATTTTGGAATTTGAACATCTTTAAGTTCAATTATCATCATTCGATTTGTTGCTGCAAACTATGCCATAGAGTAAAGTCGTAATAAAATAACTGTAATGCTAAAAGAAAAATCCTAAGGACTTTTATCTTTTTGAAGTTTTTCATATACCTCACTAGGGTCTACCTTATGCGTAAAGTCCGAGCTCAGAAACAATTTATCGTCTGGAACAGCTCTTCCGTTAGCTCTTACGTCAACGGAAAAAAATAAAAAATAAACCAGATTGAATAATCCTAGGAGTCACTGTATATTCTAATTGTTTTATTAAATAAATGACTACATTTCAAATGAATCTCATCAAAAGTAGCATTCCTAGCATAAAGCTTGATGTGGCTTCCTACCCAAAGAGGTACCTCAATCTTTATTTAAGATCGAAAAAAAAACGCTTCGAACTTAACACTCTTTACTAACACTGTACAGTATAAAACTAAATTTATACGTAAAAAATTATTATGTATTATCTGATTTTTAAATAACAATTGAATCCAGTGGAAAAATCACAGTGAATATCTGATAATCGATTTAAACTAAAAAAGTTAAGCTTAACATATAGTATAAGTAATATCATGTACTTTAACTGATGAAAAAATAAACCTATCGAGCAATAGCAAATAATATTTGTCATGTCTACTGTTAGAACGAAAAGGGCTCTCGTAACGTTGAAATATAGGTTCTACAACGCTAATATTATTTGTTAATAAAAAAAACACTAAAAGATTTCTTAATTTTTTTACTTATATGATTATCAAAATAGAAACATTGAATTTTTGAATAAACAATATCAAATAGTTTTGTATATGGTTTTTGTTGCCATTCATAATAAAAAACTATTGTTCCAACATTTTTTATTTCAACCATACGTGTTACACTTTGACTACCTTGACTATCAAATTGAACACGAATTTCATAGATAAAATCAAGTTCTTCATTTTCATTTATATTAGACATTCGTTGAAATACAAATGTATCAATTTTTAAAACCGGGCCTAATTAAATTCCAAAAAAGAAAAAAAAATTAATAAAATTGGGTTTTTTTATTTTCTTATTTTTACCCACTATCGGTGCATCAACAATATCTGGTATATCATTAAATGTGTCTTCGACATTTTTATTTTCTTTATCGTCATCATTTATTTAAATCTTTTCGATTGAAACTTTCAGGATATTCTACAGGTCAATCAACTTATCTAAAATAGATACTTGAAGCTGGATGGAAAATTCAATAAAACAATCATAACTCGGTTTCAAAGGTCCATGGAGATGAACCATTTTAAACTTTTATTAGTCTCATCAACGCATCCTTGCAGATGCCATATAAACTGAAATAGCGAGTGTCAGTTCAAGTAGTTCCCTCAATAGTATTTTGATATTTTTATTCGAATCGAAGTAAATAATAAGTAGACGTCCCACATAATGTCTAGTATTTGTAATAAAATGTTGAACTCTATTATACGTATTGCAGCTGAAAGATCGAGGCGGCTTTTCAGCCTTTGTGACCCCGATATTTCTTAGAAAGAAGCATTTGTGCACTTTATATCAATGACAATTTCGTTCTAATCATCGAGAACTATCTATCCTGAAAGTTTCTGATAATCTGTTCTTGAAAACTACCGTTGAAGAGAAGAGAATGGTCTTCCGTAACTTAAGTATACTGTGTTTATAATTGTAGTTATATTTTTATTTTTTTAATGAATGAATATGAGACAATTAAATTGATTAGGCAAGCAACAAGAACAAGTACAATAATTGAAATAAGCACTTTCCATCAATTCCATCTGTCGAATTGTATCTGACTTTCAAATGTTTAATTTTTTAAATTATTGAAAAATTAAATTTGAGAATTCATATAAAATAAAAAATACTGATCAGAAATATTAAAAAAATTCTCTCAATAATCTGTTTGTCTTTAACGTGGTGTTTTAATAATTAAATGTGGAAATCTAGCACAACATGTAAGTGCAATAAGAAAAAAAATAGTAGCAAGAAACATGACATAAACAAAGCCAATATGAATAAGTGTAAATATATATACATTCCTATGACAATAATTATTTGGATTTTCTAAGCCAAATTCAAAATTTGGCATAAATACACTCCATGTCCAAAATTGTCCAACAATAAACCAAGCAAGAAGAAAAAGATTTAAAACAGCATCTGTAAAATCAGATCCGTCTATAAAACAAAATAAAAAAAAGGGACTTTTTTTCTCTACAGAATAATATGAATGAATACAAACTATCATCAGTCTCTTCTTCTTGATCAAGTTCTACACCTTCTAATTTTCGCATACGTCTTCGACGAAATTGTTTCCATAATAAATTTAATACACGCACAAGTCCCATTGAACCAACAACAAGTAAATAAACTGGTAAATTTGATTGAATTGGACAATCATTTAAATATTTAACACCTATATGTATGTATATATATATATATATCGGGTGGCCCAAAAGTAAGGAAAAACAATGGATATCCCATAATAACTGATGAAAAACTGTTAATGATATTTTTTATACTTTTTATTGATGTAAAGAGCTGAAATCTTTATTACATATATATCTAATTAACACCTTTTATTTCTGAAAGTTTTAGCTCTCTACATCAATCAAAAGTATGAAAAATATCATTAACAGTTTTTCATCAGTTATTATTAGATACCCATTATTTTTCCTTACTTTTGGGCCACCCGGTATATATATATATTATTATTATTACATTTATAAAATAAAAATTTAAATATTCTTACCAACAAAGAAAAGTATGACTTGAAAGACCGTTAATAAAATTAATAAAGCTGTAGCGACGACTAAAATAAAATTTATCAAAATAAATATTACAATTCCTTTCAACTTAGTGATATAAACTTCATAGTCTGAAATCAATCAATAGATTAAAACTTTTTCTCTTGGGAACACGATCTAACAGAGTGTTGAAAAACAAGACGATACCTTCATTGTCATAAGTTAACTGTATGTACATCTCACATCAAATTTCACTTAAGTTTTTATGTGTCGATGTGTTAAATTCATCGATTTAGAGGAATTCGGAAACTTCAAAGTGGAGCTATAGTACACATTAGAATTGGGGAATTATACGAAGAAATATTTTTTTTAACGATCAATGAAGGTAGTTGTTTCTGAATTTGCATAATTATCGGTGATATACTTATCTTCTTCTCAGAGGAAGACGTACATATTTAAAAAAAAGGAGTAAATTAATTTCTATTTTGAGTCGAACTCTATCTCAATTCTCTGATCTGAACTGCAGTCAGTAATCTGTAATCTAGGTGGGATCAATTCTGCATTCTTTGAATTAAAAAAACCTTAATATTCAGTTTTCAATCAAATTTTCCAAAGTCAGTTGCCAGAAAACATCCACCATATGAATAATAGAACTCTATCCATGTATTGACAAAAAGGATGCAAAACATTAAAAGCCTGTTCAGTAGCTCTAAATACTACATAAAATTAGAAAATCGTATTACGTATGTAAAAAAAGAAGTACTCATTGAAAACAGCTACACATGTATATGTTTCCTCTAAAATTATCAATCTTAGAATAAATCAATAAAAACTGACTTTTTAAAGACCCCGTAAAAATCAATCTTGAGACAGATGCATGCAAATTACATGAAGTTTTTAGAATATGTTGGAAGTGTAGTGGAGAGGCTATGGTGAAATTTTCGCCCCTATATGATGACGCTTGAAGGAGATATTCAACAAACAAGGATAAAAAAATAGCTTATTTAGCAATCAGAAATTCTCGCTGGGTGTTTATTCTATAGACTTAATTTTCTTTTGTTTAAAAGAGTATGTCAAAATTCAGGGCATGACAGAGTTCTTTTTTCTAAATTCTTACTTTTTAAGAGGAGTAAAAGAATGAAAAATTCAATATCTTAAAAAATGGCGCTCTAATTATAATAGTAACAAAAGCTTAATTCAAAAAAAAGACTCTGTCATGCCCTGCATATTGACATGCTCTTTCAAACAAACAAACAAAAAGAAATTAACTAAAATAAACCTCCTTCGAAAATTCTAGGATGTGTGATCAAAAAAAACATAAAAAAGAGAAAAACTGACAAAGATTTTCTGTGTTTTCTGAAAATAGCATATTTTTCAAGTAAGGAGTAAGGGAAAACTTCAAAAATCTTTGAAAAAAAAGACAAGGTTCCCAGTAAAATTTTTTTTTCACTCATGGAAGATCAGACCACGGGGCATCTTTCCTCCGATTTATCTTAATTTCGATCATTCTGACGAAAAGTGCCTTTTCTTAAGGGGAAGCTTAATGAAAATACAAGTAATGGTTGCACTAGTAGACCTTTTACGTAAAGAGATCGATATAGTTTGAAAAAGTGTAAGACACAGAGAACATGAATCCTATATTGAAGTGAATTTTTTTGTTCACGTTTGAGAGTTAATGAAAAGATTATTGTTGAGTCGAATTGTCGAATAATTCAATTCGATCTATGTTAGAAACCGCTGATTACACATATGAATGACTCCTTAGTAACACTACCTTCATCTCGCTGACTGTAACAGACATTGTTGATATACCATTAAAGGCTGTATATCAATAACGTCTCAATTGTTTTATGTAATAGATTTATTCAAGAGAATATATCAGTAAATTTTCATTAATTTAAAATGACTATAGCAAAAGATTTTTTTGGGAACGAAATTTTATTTGACATATTCACAATTGTATTTTACAGTCAATAATATATTTTATAATACATCTAAGATTATAAGGTTAATTTTATAAACAAAAAAAAGGAAATGAATGTCTGAACTAACTACTTTTTGACCTTTATCGTAGTAAGAATTCTTTCATTATAAAGACAGTTGGTAATATTAAATATCTTTACATGCAAATATTTTTATCAAACATTTTTCCGACAAAAATAAATATCATATAGTTTTACAAGGGATTCTTAGTCATCAATTGAGTGACGATGAGTAATGTAGATATAAGTTTTTTTTTAACTTTATTCATGATTTTTTAGTAGTTCCCTTTTACTGTGTCATTAAAATTTGTTTCAATAAAAGATAAGATGAAAATAAATGAAAATTGATTAACAACGAAAGAAATATTATCATACGAGCGAAAAACACTTTTTTTTCGAAGTTTTCTTATGATTTCCATGCAAATTATTTCTTATTTTCTAAGTATAAATTAAATGCGTCTGAGCTCTTAGATTTACATCGAAGCTCTATAAGATAAAATTCATCTTATTGCCACAGTCAAATATAGCAATGAAATATTTGTTATGTATATTATTCAGGGAATCTAATACAAACAAAGGAAATCAAATACTTAATTTTCATTAGAAATATAATCTATTTGTTTTATTTCAAAATTTCACGTCATATTCATACATCATTATTCTTATTTTCTGTAATTTTCAATTCATAATAAATTCTATTTATATGTAAATAATAGAAAATCGAATATTCAAATGCAGGTTTCTTATTAATATATGAGTGATTGTTTTATTTTCTATACATTACTTGTATTTGTAACGATAGCAAAAGATTTTTTAACAAATTCCATATATGTTTCAGAATCTTGGATGGCTTCACCTATTTATAAATAAGAAAAACAAAAAAAAAACATTTTGAAGATAAGAAAAAAAACGTTTTTTTTTTTTGTTGTTGTTGTTGTCATTTACCTAGTCGACTAATAACGGATACATATGGATCACTATCTTTAATATCTTCAACCCATTCACTCGATGATAATAATAAACGATGATCTTCTTGTGATAGCTAAACAGAAGAAATTCTAATTAGATTGATAATAGAATGATCATATATATAGATATGAATATATGTAATGACAATTTTGATTAAGTATAATCCATCATTTAGATATTTTTATTCTTTAACTTACAATCTTTTTAGTTTTATCCGTATCACGTTGTTTTAAAAATTGTGCATAACTACTACTAACGCTACTAAAACGTGCAGTTCGTTGTCCATCAAGACTTGTTGATGATGTTGTATTTATATTTGTATTTAATCGATTTTTTGTTCGTGATAATATTGATGAAATAGTATTTAAATCAAATGATGAACGTCTTGAATGTTCTTCTGTTGCATCCAAATGAATACGAACAGATGATACTGATTTCATCGTATTCATGAATCTTGAAAAGCTCACTCTTATATTAACTCTGAAGTTGACTTCTACTTTTGTTCTGCTTAAAAAAGACTAGAGCAAGAATCGTTCTTTCGCTCTCTTTTTTGTTTTTTATTCTTATTCCTTGATGCTATAAGAATAAAAGTAGACTAGGGAGTGATCAAATAAATAGACAGAAAAAAAAATGATAGAATTTGATAGGAAATAAACGTGCTCGACTCAGCTTTAACAGTAACAAACATGACATATATTGACATAATATATACAAATGCAAATCTTCTTTTCTTTTTGACAAACTAGTTGCCATTTCCGCACAATTTACTTGACATCAACCGAAAAAATATATATATATTGCAACAATATATTTTTGTATTTCATAAATATATAGTTATTCAAAAAAAAAAATTAGATTAGTACATTAAAATGCTTTCATTCTATTAGATTTTTGATAAATGACAATAAAATGAGCACATTCAAAAGAAAAGCTTGAATGCACTGCATTAGAGAAATTTGATAAATTAAAACGTATGAAACACCATCAAAGAAATAATGTTCTTTATCCAATATTATCTTTAAATGTGTCAACGAGAAATTATAGAAAAATATTTTATCAGGTGTTGAATAACAACGAAGAAAAACATATCTGTTTTACATCAAAGAAAAAAAAGCTTCTCGTTTAACTTTGATCATTCAAAATACACTCAAATAAGTATTCTAGTAATTAATTCCACAGAATAGAAATTCATCCACAAGATTAGAGTTTTCTTAAGAAAATAAAGGTTCACTGCGTGCATAATGAACATAAAACAATGAAAAATGCTAGAATACGCATATTTCTATTAATTAACGAAAAAATTGAGCTCAACTCAAGCCTCCTTACAAACTTATAGCTTGTGGAACAGAGGTATCCCCATGAGCTTCTATTCTGAGGAAGGAATTAGTCTAAAGTATTAATAGAAATGAACATCAAGTATCTAAAAAATAATGTTTTTTTCTTTTCCTTCTGAGAAAATGTAGGTCACTATAGTTATCAGAATTAGAAAGATACTAGTAGATCAGTAATACACATTTCTTTGTTGTAAACTTACTAATTCAAGGAAAAAGTGTTTAGGCATCAACGAATCCATCGTTCTGTAGAATTTTTATCTTAACCAGTGATTCCACAGAGAGCCATACGACTTTTATTATTATATTTATCAAAAATATCAACAGTTATAATAACATAATTATAGATTAAGATGAAACAGAAAGAAAACGGTTGTCTACCAATATTAGATAGAAAAGTAGTTACCGTCATGTTGACATTAAAGTGTAGTGCAAAGTATAGCTTCTTTTTTCACTCTATAGGAGAATGCATTAAGTCAAATTATCGCTGATAATATGGTAGTCACCGAAGTTCTATTTTTTTTTCTGTAGTGTTTGCACTCAATGATTTTTAATAATTCATTTTCATAGCCACACTTATGATAAATATAGTCATTTGATTTAAAACAGAAATGTTGAACTACAATAAATGCAATATTATCAACAGCTGAGTCATTGCATTATTTTAAAGGGTTGACAGCGATTGAACTATAAGATTTTGCTCATATTAAGAATGTAAAGCTCATAATAAAAATGAATACTATCCATGATCATTTCCTTTTTTATTAGAATCATTCCAATGTGAATGATTTTATTAACCTATTGTTCGCTTACTATTAGATCCTTAACTTAAATAATAACTGAAAAGTAATGTTAATCAACAAAAATATGAATCAATCGAAGAAAGAAAAAAAAAATTTTTTGTTTTTTTTTTTTCTTTTACCATTTTGGATGGACGTTTATTATCACCATTGGTTACTGCATTGGTAGGTACAAAAAGTGTAGTAATTCCAGCATCCATATTTTCTGTTGATAATCTTTGATCTAATATTTCGTCTGTTGTAGTTGTATAACTTGATTGTCGTTTTGCATTTGATGCTTGTCCTTTAATGGTCAAACGTGTTTTTCTTCGAACACTATTTTGACGACGTGCTGATGATTTTCGTTCACTTAAAAATGCTGTTGCTATATTAGCTAATGATACATGTCCATTTTGTATGTCCTGAGGTACATTACAACTTCCGCCACTGGTTCTGAAGGGGAAAAAAAACAACAGAATATTTTTTAGAATAACAAGGACATTAGTTATGATTAGTAATTTCCGTTAACAAATAAATAAAAAAAAAAAAAGAGCAAAGTTCTCAACATCCAGGTGCAATTGTGTAATGAACAAAAACAACAATCATAACAATCCAATTTGACGTTCGTCTATTGACTTTTTTTCTTGGTCAAATATTAATACATTATGTCAATCCTTTTCTTTTCCGATTATTTTCAAACTTGTTTTCATTTAGTAAATCTGACTTTTTTTATGATTCAAAGTGTTGCGTCGTTTTTTTTTTCGTTCCGATAGAATGATTTCGTTATATATTCATTGATCAATTCAAACAAAAACAAAAAAAATTCTTTTAGTTATTTTGACACATGTACTGAATAATCTTGTTGATGTCTGTCTTAATAAGTTTTAGTGTAATTAATAAACAAAATGAGAAATTTGATTTCTTCTTCGATCTGCTGTTTTATCGAGTATTTAATGATTTTGAAGTCGATCATGTGACGTAAATAGTTTCTAATCAAAATATTGCCTTATGAAATCATATTCATTTAAATATGGTTGTGTTTCATTTACTTTTGGTTATAGATGATTATTGCCTAAGGAATATTAGATTAATACACGATCAACAACAGCTTTATTGATTCTATTTGATAAAACATATTACGATCTTGATCTTATTTATGGCCAATTCAATAATGTTTTATTAGAAACAGAAATTTCTAGTTGATATTAAACCTATAATTATGTATATTTCAACCTAGAATGTTGATTTTGGAGGATGTAATTATTGTTTTTAAACTGTATAAGCCAGGAAATAAAGAAATCGTACTAAAGTCATAAGAATTCTAAAACTGTGCACAATTTTTTCTGCAATATTTTTACAAAGTTAAATAAAATTCTTTAAGGTTTATAAGAATATGTATTTTAAAAAATTTACAAAATTGTTTTTTTTTTTTTGGAAATAAAATTTATAGAAAGGAACTATTAAAATGAATATAAGATATGGCAGATAATCTCAATAGAGAAAATGTGCTCAATTTTATTTTAAGACAAAATTAGTCTTTTCCGGATATTTCTTTAGTTCTACAAATTTGAGAAGATCATTTTCGAACTCAATATGCAAAACTGCATCTAGAAGCACGAATTAATTTATGTTTTCAAGTGCAGTTTTGCATGCTGAGTCTGAAAATTATCATCTCGAGGTTTTAGAATCAAAAAAATATACAGAAAAAGCTAATTTTACGAAAAAAAAAAATGAGTAAATTTTTTACAATACATACTCCTATAAATCTTAATGAATCATATTTAACTATGTGAAAATATCAAAGAAAAAAGAAATTAGTACTCAATTTTGGAATCATTAACATCTAACATATAGAATAATATTAAATATCTTGAAATATTCATAATTTATTTATATAACAGTGTCAGAGAATTTTTATTTAACATATACTCTTAAATATTATTGTAGTGAAATCTATTTTTAGATGTTATATAAATAATATGACAGATATTTAATGATGAAATAAAAAATTAAATAAATCTTTTATTTTCTATTCTGATGTAAATTATAATAATGAAGGTGACATTTATCCTTCTCAGTCGATGTCCTTATAAACATTAATATTAACTTCTTTTTTTTTACCTTACACGTCGAACAGATCTTGTTCGTCTTCGTCTTGTTGGTGTTACAATGCGCATTTTTTTCCAAAATAAATTAACACATTGTTTTTAAATAATGGTTGAAATAGTGACATTTTCTTTTTTTTTGAAAGTCAACTTATTTTTTCTCTATTCCTAATAAGCATATCTTTACACGAATATCATTAAAATTTCTTAATAAATAATCCGTAACGGTAATTTAATACGTGCTTACCCAAGACTTTTCGAACAGTATTTTTTCCACATTACACTATTATTCACTGCTGTGAATATGAAGTGATAAAAGAAAGTTAGAAAATAACACTTAGTAGTCTTTTTCCTAGCTCTTACAATTGTTAATCGATAGTTGCTTCAGATTGAAGTATGTATGTCATACTGAGGACAAATGAAAAAAAGTCTATCGAGACATTGAGTACGATAAACAAGCATACATATATATATATATATATATACATGTCTAATGCTTTGACAAAGTTTGTTATAAATTTTAAAAAATAAATGTAATACGTACCTGCTATAAATCGATCCTGCTTGACGTGACATTTTGAGAAATTCTTAAATATATACAAAAATTATTTCAGTTTGTTTATAAAATTAAATCTTATTGTATTATGATAAATCATAAAATATTTTGTTTAAAAAAAATTACTTTATAATATCCGTTTCTGAGAAAAAAAACGGAACTAAGTGAAACGTTTGTGTAAACAAAAGGAACCTTAAGAACCATCTTTTTTTCTTTGCCTTTTCTAGTAATGTTTATATACAATCTTAGCATTTCATAATGAGACGATTCATACAAATGCGTATACTCACCAATTTACTAGAAACAGTTACTTGATTTTAGGTACCCAGTATTCGACTTGAATATAATTATGATAATTGTATTGAGTGGCAAAACGGTGAGTTGTCGGAGCTCGTGCACATCTTTTTTCTTTAAGTATCGCGCAGTTCCTCTCCTTCAATTCATCTTCCGCTACTTTCTTATAGTATTTTTTTTCTTTTTTTTTTTTTCTTCGGTTTGTATGTCGTCTCGGTTGATGATGATAATGATAATTTTTAGTTTCTTCCTCCCTATGTGTCTGCCTGCCGACTATCGAAAACATTTTTGCTCGAAGCCAAAGTTAAATATGCATCATGAAATTACTATTTATGTTTTCTTCTTTTTTTTTTTTTGCATGTAACTATTAGATCTCGTTTATGAAAAAAAAAGCAAACGTACATAATATGTTGATTGACTTGCATGTCCATCAACTATTAAACAATAATCTACATAATACTAATTAGTTATATATATATGCAATGACATGAGTTATTACGTTGAATGAGTTTTTTATGCTAAAACTAAAATTATAATAATATTCATCAAAGAAAAAGAAAAAAAAATTTTCAAGCATATAATAGTTGTTTTCTATTCATTACTGGTAAAGAATTTGTTTGACAACTTGTTTAAGAATGACTAAAAATTCATTATTAACTTTTGTCATTCTTTGTATTATTTTTTTTAAAATTTACTCAAGTAATTTATTTGTGCAATACTATCATCTTAAACAGATTTTATGATTGAACCATATAAATATAAAAAAATAAAAACAAAAGAATTTTTTTCTTGATCACTGACTGTTGTTTTAACGTTTTTTTGTTACTTAATATTAAGATATTAGAAAAAAGATTCACATTATTTCTTACGTAGTTAAATTTATTATCAAAGTCAAACTCATTGACAAGGTTTTATCACTGTTATATTGAAATTCTTTTTTTATATTCAATTTAAGATCAATTTTTATCTTCTTCTACTTAGTGGCTCATTTCTTTCAAGATGCATACGAATCAAATATCTAAAAGAATCAAATATCCAGAAGAATCAAATATCTAGAAGAATCAAATTCGAAGGTATTTTTAGTATGAAAAAAAAACATCTTTTTTAATAAAGCATTTGGTACTGAAATTATGTTGTTTGATTGTATAAGGTCTATGAGAAAAAAATTAGAAATTATGAAACGTGTTAATTTTAAATGAGTTGATTATTAATAAAAAAATCAAATGCTTTTGTTCTCTGTTATAAACTTTTCTAGTTATTTTTATTCATTTTTAAAGTAATTATAAGAGATCAATAACGTTATATCAAGAAATTTTACTTCTTCTTTCATAATTTATCATATGATTGTCTGATTATTTTGATGATTTTGCAACAAAAAGTTTATTTTATCTACAGACATTAACTAAATATGCAAACAATAATAATACGCAAGACCGATCTTTCTCGCTTCTTCCATTCAAGAGCTATAGTCGTTTTACAGGAAGTCTGAAAATGGGCTAATTGACCAGTAGCCATTTAAATTCTATCGAGTTTGATGTACTCGTCTATGCTGAGTTCAATAATGGTATTTGTTTTTAGTTTTGAAACGATATGACGTTGGAAAGATAACATCTTGAAAATATCCCATTCAACGTTAAAAGCCTTGTGTAGGTTGAATTATAAAAATCATGATATAGCAACGTACGATAATTATTGAAACTAAAAACAAATACCGTCTTTGAACTCGACATACACGAATACATCAAACTCAATAGAGTTTAGATTGACCAGTACTCAATTGGTGCATTTCGAGGTTTCTAGTAAAACGCTTATAATTTCTCAATGGAATAAGTTAGAAGGATCGGTTCTGCATAGATCAACAGAGAAATGTCTTTGCTATCGATTCCCTAGATTGGAAATTATTGTTAGTCGAGAAAGTTTTTTCGACAGCTTCTGGTGAAAATCTACAGCAAAAACTCACCAGCTTACCAACACATAGTCATGATAATTTATCTGATCTTATTAAATGCATGCAATCTGAACATGAACGAATAAATCAAAATTCATCATTAAATTATTATATTGAATTTGATTATTTATTGGTAATATGTGCTGACAGCAAAAGTGCATCTACAAAAATAAAGTGTCATTCACTAGTTGATTCTGGTGATCTTTTTTTTTTTAATAGTAACACATCTAGATTGTGTTTCTGAAGTTTTTATTAATTGGATTTTTTAATTATAATGGATTTCTTTTTTTTAAGTTGAAAATCCATACATTACATTTTTAAATGATTTTTATATTGATATAGAAGCCGAAGTTATGTACGTTTTAAATATTCTCTATACTTATAGAATATAGATAATGATGAAAGTCAAAGAAGCAATCGTCATATATTTATATTGAGTTTAAAAAGACAACGAAAGGCGTCATTATACTTCTACACATGTAAACTTTTCATATCCTTTTTTATGTATTTTAAAATATTAAGCTTCTCTTTTTTGCCTTTTGCTAGCATTGCAATACAACTCTTGTATTGTTTCATTTTCATTTAACATGATTAGTAGGTGTGATATAATTAACAGCAATCCAATGTGAACTTGTTAATTGATATATTTATATAATGTCAGTGATTGGTAAAAAGTTCAATTTGATTTTAAATTTATTATTATGTGAGTTGTTTTCTTCCTTAGCTGATCATCAGACTCCTATTCATTTTTTCGTTCAATTCATAGTTCAATAAATGAAATAGCCAATCGATCATGTCGTACAAGTCGTAGTAATAGAACATCAGATTGAAGACATTATAATGATTATTTAATAGAAGCACATGTTCATTCACAAAATGTAGAACATAGACCTGTTATTAATACTTTTGAAGTACTTATTATTATTTAATAAATTTAAAATCTCATCAGTTTTTTTTTATGTAGAATTTTCTTGTCAAACTAGTGTTCAATTGAGTCTCTTAATTCAAGCGGAAATTATTGTACTTGTGAATATTACAGGAGATATTCCGACTTTATTTTATTAGCAAGTTTCGAAAAATTTGATTGTTCAACTACGAGATAGTTTTATCTGTTCTTATAATCACAAGGTATTACCTATTACTTGTTCGATTAATACGATCAAGAGATCTCACTGAAAAGATATTTCTCTTATTTCGGATCAATCATAAAATTCGTTGATCTTTATTACTTATTGTAACGACAAAGTGGAGGAGTAGCTTACTGTTAGCTTCGTTAATGATATTTATTGAGCTACTTTATATCTTCAGAATGTGACTACTTCACATACAACATACACTTATATAAGACAAAGTAAGAGAGAGAGAGAGAGAATAAAGAGGAAAGGAAGATCAGCGTGAGATGATATCAATATCGGCACACCTATCATAAGAGAAAACAATAGGCGATGAAGTAGATTTTTAAGTTTTATTTTGTTACAATCAATAATGATAAACTGGACGCAATTACTTGAGTCATTCTCCTACATTAATAGTGATCGAAATTCCTCGGATAGTATGAATATCTCAAACCATGTTGCTATCACTAGATTGCAAATTAGTAACTATCTATACAATGTACATAAGAATCTTAGAAAGGTATTCTTATATTTCAGAATATAAATAATTGTCAAGAATATCACATATAGAGATATAAACCAATGCAGAGATCAGTAGTAGTTGGAAAACTTTCCAAATTCAGCGACAGCAATGATTCAACCTCGTGGCTTATACATCTAGTTATATGTGATTAAAAAAATTTTTGTTATGAATTTCATGCGAGAATTTTTCATAATTGTTGGAATACGAGGCAAGCGTCTGAGTTCGACACTTTAAGTGACTTCGATAATCAGAAGAAATTTTTCTAAGCACTTATAATCAAAAGAAGTGTTCATTTTGAATAGTATTTTATTACCATATAGTTTTTATTAAAAAGTCCGAAAGTAAGATAACTAATGTTGATATTAACGTTATCAATCACACCGTGTGTTTCCTTGAATTATCGTGAAATATGACCGTTTGCTAGATTCATTGAGTCGTTTGTTTCTTGTTTGACGTACATACGAATAAAATGTATTGATTCTTCTATTTGACATTATTAACGAGATATATGATCATATCATTTCTCAACAATTCGATTCGTATACTTCATACAAACATAAATACTCTGTTTTAATATTGTGATTATCTTTGTTCAACAGCAAATGAACTTCTTTATCGACCTGTTATTATTTTTGAAGACATTATTGTGAAAGATATTCAACAAATTGTATTTATTAAATTGATTTTTTTTGTTATCATATTTAAACGAATAACTCCGTTCTTCTTTTTTCTCTTTGTTATAGAAATCTTTTCATCAGGAAGCACAACATTGGCTGTATATCTAAGCAAGAAGATTAGCTTTGTTCATATAGACAATACGATAATGTGGTATATATATATATCCCTGGAAAGCAAAAGTTAGCCACGTTATTTTGGGTATATCGTTACTATAACAACGTATTCTCAAAAGAATAATACTATATTCGAAAAGCGCGTGAAATTCTCTACCACCCTGTATATTTTTATTACAGTTTGCCATCATAGAATATCTAACAAAATTCAGTACAACCAAGACAACCTCATGTCCAGATTCCCAAACACTTGATTTTGCCAATCCCATCAAAAATAGTTTTTGAAATTTTCCATCACTATAAAATGATCCTATAAGAAAGGAAAATATATATTCTGATAGAGCGTGAA